CAACAACAAAAAGCTTGCAAAGATTCAGATTAATTAATTTGAGTAACTGATCCAATTAAGTAATTCAATGGTTTGGATTAGAGAGAGAAGCGCGGCTCCCCAGGCGGCCGCAGACCCAGGCTGGCACACAGACCCCCAGAAAGCAGCAGCGGCGGCTGGGCTGGGGGGAGCAGCGGCGAGACAAAGAACGCAATTACACACACAAAGCGGCAGCGAGAAAAGCAGATAGAGTGAGGAGAGCAGGAGCAGAATAAATAAACACGCCAATGAAGAGGAGGTGAGGGCGCCGGCTGACTCCCTCGATTATGCGTGAGCTTTCGTCTTATCGGGTGACCTTTAAATTGGAGCGGCGACGTGGAGGGAGCCTCGGGCCGCCATGGCCGCTCTCATTGGCTGCCTGCCGCACCCTGCTGGCAACAGAAATTAGCAGAACCAGCAGGCATATTAAGAAGGGGAATTACAAACATACACATATATTATATTATATGTGAATATATGTAATCATATATATGGTAAGATTCACTGATTCCCATCAGTGCACTGACATAAAAGTTCACGATGCTACTGCCCCGATTTAAAAAGTGTGAACCGGAGACAATTTGGGATGGACTCGGCATGTATCATCTCTAACATCTTTGCATTGGTAAAGTCTGATTTATTCATGTATAATTATTAGTAGACACTCTATGCCTTATACCAATAATTTTTTACCAATAATTTTATGTTCAGATTGATCACCCCTCTGTATCCGTATCATATTGAATTGCATTGCATTATATTCATTTGCATCGTATCACATTGTATCGAATCTAATCGTGTCGAATCGCATTGCATCGCAATAGGGGTGAATCACATTGTATCGAATGAGTAGTTGCTTCATAAGTATGTTTAATGTACTTGACCGTTGCCAATACATTGAGACGTGTATTGCAGTGGCCTCAGTGATGGAGATGCACATCCGTGCTTTCTGGGGGGAACCGGGGGAGTGGGGTCATGCCTTGCCCATGATCATGCCACACTGCCTGAAGGGTACTGGGGGGGTGGGGGACTCTACAACATGCTGCCACTGGCAATAACCGCAGGAGCAGAAATGCTACTCTGGACCAGCAGGTGGCGTAGCAATTACAGATACTGTCCAGGACCTGCAAGGTTGGCAGGTCAATGCCCCGTTGCCATGGTACCTCCCTGAAGCAATAGGTTTACACACAAGTCAGTGAAAAGAGCAGCTTCACTCTATAAACCTCAACCATCCTTCATTTCAACATCTCACATGAGGAAAGGTGGCCGCAAGCAAACATATAGGCACCAAGAGACACAGACGGGGGACGGCTGGCACGCACACACACAGACACACACTGAGCTGACAGCCCCTCCCAGCGCTGGGACAGCAGGGGCTGAGCAGGTGACCCCTTAACTGCTCCATCTCCGTGTCGTGAATAACGGAGCCGTCAGCGTCAGGGGCAGGGAGGGGCCACGCAGTGCGCACCCAAATTTGTCAAAGTAACAAAAAAGTGTGTGGGGTGAGGCGGGGGTGCAGAGCGGCCGGCGAGCGAGAGCCGTGCGGGGCCTTATCGGACTGGCCACACGCCTAGCAGCAAGATAAAGGAGGCCAAATTAACTGGATCACAGGGCGGCTGGCTAAGATGAATGGGGTATGAGGGACTTACACCTCACAGATAAAGCAAAGAAAATAATCATAATAACAGCAAGGCGGAGAATCGTCCAGACCCCGGGAGCCGGGGGGGGGCCAGCCAGGGGGGGCCAGCCAGCGGGGAGTGAGCGGGGGGTGGGGGGGGGCAGCACCTGGGCCTGCAGGTGACCCTGGCAGAGGTCACGCCCCTGGTGGTGTAAGCAGGCAGTGCAGCATGTGCAATGGGGAGCGTCAGGTCACTAAGGACATATCCCAGCCATAGTAGATAATACACTGCTTAAACCTGGCTGGGTGACTAGTCAACAGCATGTACTGTTAGTTAGGGACTGGGACAGCTAGTAGACAGCAGGAAGAGTTAGTTAAGGACTGGGACAGATGGTTGACTGCAGGTGAAGTTACTTCAGGACTGGACCAGCTAGAAGACAGCAGACAGACTTGGTTGTGGCATGGCCTTCAAAGATTCAAGGCATACAGAATTCTGTTGTTCAGATGGATTAGAGCACATCTGTGCAGGTCACACTGGGTCACCTGAGGTAAGTGCCTCTGCTTTTCAGTGTCTCCACCATCTGAGTCTGGATACTTCTGCTTAAAGTCAGATTTATCATGGTCACACAAGAGAACATTTTATCATAAGTAAAAGGCCTTTATAGGATGTGAGATGAAGCATTTAACATTTTTAACGAAGCGGTAGAGTTTTCATAACCGAACAGTAAACACAGAGCTTGTAACACCACACGCCATCCATGCGTACTGAAGCCTGCAGTGTCATTAAACATTATTTTCACTGGTGTAATTATTATTATCCAATTAAAATAGCGCCTGACGATTTCCAAATGCCAGCATAAGAAGGAGAAGCAGGGCTTCAGCAATGACCTGTTACAGCTCTAAAGCTACTGAGCTGGACTGATGGATACGTGGTCCTGTCAGGGGGGGGCAGCACCAAAACCACCCTCATAATAACTGCACAGAGTTGTTATACCAGAGTTACAGGGAGACTGGATGGCAGAATTCTCAGCTAACACTGCATGTTTTTCAAGATGCCTATAGGATAGCGGCATTGCTTGTGTTTAATTTGATTTTTAATTTTTTTTTTTACATTTTGTGCCTAAAACTGTCTTTGCTATGAGCCTGCAAGTGACACCGTGACTGAGGACCCAGGAGAAGGTGCCTGTCGGTCACACAAGCCGACCGAACTGCCTTTATCTCCACGGACAACATGCGCCCCTAAAGTGGGGGCACCTGGGGAATACATCACGAATGGTTGGTCCGGCATCAGAGAATGTACACAGTCAGAGAGGCGGTGGTACTCCCCCTCCAACTCCCGTAGATGAAACCACTGCCGATCCCAACAGCCCAGTGAATTCCTGGTGGGCAGTGGAACGCGACGCATGGTGGACTGATGATTTCTCTTGCAACAAATTTCGCTGAACAAAAATAAGATTATCGAATGACGCCAGAAAGGAATTTAGTACAAATGACCCCCCCAACCCCCAAATCAAAGAAAATAGCAGTATGAGGGTGCAGCAGTTTGTACCAAGAGGACATGACCTCCACCTGTGACTCCTGGCCAGTAATTCAAATGTTGAAGGCTGATTGAAAGGATAATAAACAGCTTGATATGCTACGCTGTGTAGCCACAGGCTACAAAATAGGCTAGTGAATGTCTGCTAATGCTAAGCTGTGTAGCCATGGGCTAAAATATCCTGGTAAATAGCTGGTAATGCTAAGCAGAGTAGCCACAGACTAAAAAAAGCCTAGCAAATGGCTGCTAATGCTATGCAGTGTAGCCACTGGCTAAAAATAGGCTAACAAATAGCTGCTAATACCAATCAGTATCCTAAAATAAAATAATAGCCTAGGAAATGTCTGGTAATGCTAAGCTGTATAGCCACAGGCTAAAGTAGCACCAGGCAAGACATCATTGTGCATGAAGCATTTTCTCTCTATCGCCACTTTGTGAAGAGAGTGAAGGAGTGAAAGAATTAACAAGTGTGACGGCTAACCGCGCATGTCTGCAGGAGGGCTAAGTGGGCTACATGAGGCCTGGGAGCAGGGGGTCTGACGGCCAGCACAGTGCCGGACTTGTGGCCCATCCTGGTGCCATGATAAAGAGCCTCTGTGACTGAGAGCACGGTTTGCTTTTCCCAGAGCGGACAGCTGCGGGATGGGGGTGGGTGGTGGTGAGGCACACAAGGTGTCCTTTCACTAGTGCCAGTGGTGTGGCTTCCAGCCCTGCCGCGCGTGGAGCCCAGAGCGGCCGATTGCCTGTCTACGCCGTATCTCTCGGCACGTTGCATGCCTGCTTGTTTATTTGTTATTTTTACCGCTACAGATGATTTATTGTGCGTTACTTTTTCTGGGTCATTGCCTTTTTACTGAAAATAATTGAATATGTAATAAAACTGGAGGCATAAATACAAACGAGTATGAGTGGAATGATTTAGAACAGGATAAAAATACACAGAGACATGGCACGCGTCAGTCAAACACGAGCGGGTGGGTGGGTTGCTGGGGGGGGGCTGAGGCACGCAGTGGCCTGACGAGGAACGGGAGCGGCCCAAACGAGGGAGGGTGTAACGAATACGAGGATGGAGCATCAGTCATAGATAAACAATTCCTACTGGGCATCCCACAGAAGCCGCATGCCTTCTGGCAGAGGATTGATTTGACAGCTAATTAACACAGAGATTTACATAACAGATAAGATTAATACCACCAAGTCTTTTCTTCGTTTTTTAACAAAACAGATAACGTAAGAGAAGTTTAAAAGATTAAAATCCAGTATTGATCGAAACCATCATAAAACCCTGTGGTCCTGAGTTTAATCCTGCATTTAAGAGACAAGCTGTTTTCACATTGTACTGTGAAATCTGAGTGCATGTCAGGTAAGCTCGGAGGGTTTATACTCTATGAGATCCCAATGTGGGCTTAGCTTGGAGGGCTTATACTTCAGGTCTAGGAGATCTCCATGTGGGCTTAGCTCTGAGGATTTATACTCTAGGTCTATGAGATCCCCATATAGGCTTAGTTCTGAGGGTTTATACTGTACTCTATGAGATCCCCATGTGGGCTTAGCTCTGAGGGTTTATACTCTAGGAGATACCATGTGGGCTTAGTTCTGAGGGTTTATACTCTAGGAGATACCATGTGGGGCTTAGTTCTGAGGTTTTATACTCTAGGAGATACCATGTGGGCTTAGCTCTGAGGTTTTATACTCTAGGAGATACCATGTGGGCTTAGCTCTGAGGTTTTATACTCTAGGAGATACCATGTGGGCTTAGCTCTGAGGGTTTATACTCTAGGAGATAAAGCCCCTCCCAGCTTCCCCCAGCCCCAGCCTGCCACTCACTGTTCATGTTCTTGAAGATGTTGAGAATGGGCAGGATCTGCCTGTAGTAGGGCACCAGTGCCTCACCCACCATTTCCGCAGACACCACCAGATGCTGTAGGACCTTCAGCGTGGTGCAGATGACCTGCCTGTTGCGGGTGTTCAGGGCATCTGTGGGCACAGGGGTCACAGGTTAAAAGTCAGAGACGAGCAGTAGGGTTGTAACTTCCCTCCACAATTGGCATTTTCCAGAAGTGAAGCAGAAGGAGTCTGATTGGGAATTATCGACTCAGCCCCCCAGCACGCTCAAGTTGCTTAGTGATAACAATAATCTTGTACACATTAGTGAGTAAATCTCACTAAGGCATGCACTCACACAGACGCCCAAACGCTCCGTCCCTCAAATCAATGTTTTTGCAAGGAGCTTTGCCTTCACCGGCTGGCTGCAATCAGACATTTGAAATGCAGCAGGGGAAGGAATAAGTGAAAGACAATCAAGGGGTAATTTTGCAGACAGCAGCACTTAGCGAGACTCCCGCAGACCGCAAGCGGGAGGGTGGGCGCCCAGAGCCCCAAGTGCGCAGGGAGCGGGACGCCGTGTGCTTTGACATGAGGACATGGGTGCGTTTGTGTCTGTGCATCTGTGTGTGTGACTCAGCAACTTCCAACAAAGGGCCCATCTTGCATGTTCCCTCACTGCAATCCTCAGGCTTCTATCAGAGGTGTCATCATCGAGCAGCTCAGGCAGGTGACAGAGGCAGAGCGACCTGACAGGATCTGCCACCACACACGCACACACACACACACGCACACGCACAGAGCAGTCTGACAGGATCTGCCACCACACACGCACACACACGCACACACACACGCACAGAGCAGTCTGACAGGATCTGCCACCACACACGCACACACACGCACACGCACAGAGCAGTCTGACAGGATCTGCTGCCACTACATGTACATACACATTGCCACTTGGCGGGATCTGTTGCCACACACGCACACGCACAGAACAACCTGACGAGATTTGCCTCCACACACACACACACACACACACACACACACACACACACATACATACACACACACAAGTGCACAGAGAGGCCTTACGGAATTTGCTTCCACATATGTAAAATGACAGCCGTTTATAGTGTATATGAAACACTACGGTTATAATTACCTTACACATAAACAGTTTCCTCTGGATCTGACATTTGGGCTCAGGGAGACTTTAATTATTCATTGGTTCTCACCTTGCGAGTGGAGAGATTGGGAGTCAGTCTGTATGAGCACGGGACGCACCCAGGCAGAATTGATATGAATAAAGTAATCATTTATTCATACCAGTCCATTAGATTTGTAGCAGAGAAAAAAAACTCATAAATCCATTTTTCCCCAAATGTCACAGGTGGGTGACATTTTCAAGATTTGGGTGGATTGTATTTATCATATTTATTCATTTGTGTTACAAGCAGGGATGGATTGTGCCCTGCTTAAGCTCGAGATTTCTTTATAATGAAAGTTTAATTTCAGCCTCAGGAAAAATAAATTATTTTAACACAGGCATGGGTTTGATGGAGACATAAGAGAGGATTTTGTTTTTTATTAAACTAGGACAAGGCAGGTTATCAAAATGAAATGATTTTGCTCTAATTTCCGTCTTGACTCAGCCCATGCAGCCCAGGCTCTCCCAGAAGCAGCAGCATCTGCCGCAGGCTTCCCGACACAGACGGCCACACACGGAGCTCGTCTGCAGCATGCCGTCTGCAGGCAGTGATTATGGAAATGGCACGTGGCTCAGCAGCTCAGGTGCCTGATCAGAAGGTCGCCTGTGCTTGACAGGACAGCCACATCTCCATCTCCACATCTCCACCCCGCGCGCAGACCCCTTCTGTGTATATGCGGCTCACCCCGTGCGCAGACCCCTTCTGTGTATATGCGGCTCACCCCGTGCGCAGACCCCTTCTGTGTATATGCGGCTCACCCCGTGCGCAGACCCCCAAGCTGTGTATATGCGTATGTACCACTTAAAAAGGAGAGCGAGAAGCTAAAGAATTCCTATGTATCTGTACAAATAAGGCAGCGCTTCATCAAATCTGTAGTGGCTGTCCACGTGCTCAATCTCTGTCCCGAGGAAGTGGGCTCCTCTGGACACGTACAAATCCTGTTACAGCAGCCCTGGTGCCCCCTGGACGGAGCAGCAGTGAGGGGTCTAACACCACGGTCTGGCAGATACCATCCCACGCTTTCAGTTATCCAGCGCCCTGTGCCCATTTATCATATTTATGAGTTATCAATACATTATATTCTGTTGTTTAAAAGTGCAGAGAAGCGGCTGAACGCACAGCTGGGCTGCAATCCTTCTCTCATTGATGAATTCAATTAATAATTCACAAGGCTGTGTGGGAAAATGGGTGCGTCCAGAAAGAACTTTAATAAGAATGAAAGCGAGGAAAGAAAACACACACACGCACACGCAACAAACACACACGCGCGCACACACACACACACAAAGACACATTTCTATTCATTTATTCATATCTTTGTAGAGACCGTCCATCTCTTTGGACGTAACCTTAATCCCAACAATAACAACCTGAACCTCTGCCCAGCCCTAACATTAACCATAAGTAACCAAATAAAAATTTTAGTGTTTTGATTATTACAGTCACAGGGGTTATCCTTGTGTGGACCGAAAAAATGTCCCCACAAGGTAAAAGGTTATGGGTTTTTTAATCACATTTTGGGAAATCTGGTCCCCACAATGTAACAAATACAAAAACGCAGAAACACACACACACACACACACACACACACGCACACATTAATCCAGAATTGTGAAAGCTGGGTCAGACTTTGCCCTGAAGATGCTGAAATAACACAATGGCAGGGAGATCTGCAGGTCCTGGGGGGGTGCGGACTGAAGCCCAGCTCTGTAAAGGGGCCTAGCACTCATCCCTGGCACAGCCCCCCCCCCCCTGCAAATGGCTACCATGCTACCCAGTGACCAGGAAGGTGCTGGAGAGGCAAGACGGGCTCGGAAAATGGCCCATTATGCTCCATTAGGTGATGTGCTGTGACTCAGGTCTGACCCAGCGATACAGCAGGTGGTGTATGAGTGCCACTGGTTTCGTTTCTAAGGACATCAGAATTCCAGAAATACCTCCGCTATTCTTCACCTTGGCTGACCTGACCTTTGACCTTTCACTGGTGTTACCTTGTCCCCAGATATGGGTGATCCAAGTTGGAAAGAAGGACATTCTACTAATATCCTGATGTGTTCCTGTAGCGCCCTCTTGTTCACCATGCAAGCACCCCAAAGGGTTTGAAGCTATTATTCATTAGCGGTATCCCACTGCCGAACTATTATTCATTAGCATTAGCGGTAACCCACTGCCAAACTATTATTCATTAGCATTAGCAGTATCCTACTGCCAAAGCTATTATTCATTAGCATTAGTGGTACCCCACTGCCAAAGCTATTATTCATTAGCATTAGCGGTACGCTACTGCCAAAGTTCTTAACCATTAGCATTAGCAATATTCCACTGCCATATCTTCCTTTCTTCTCCTTTGTTCTTTCCAGCCGGAAATGGATGGCCATTTCCAAAGGGTGGGACTAGATCGTGTGTCTGCCTGGGGGATCGCCAGATGGGATCCCGAGGAGTTTCGCTGTGTGGTGGATGTGGCAACGCTCTGCATCGGCATACGTCCCCAACCTGACCTGACCTGACATGTTCTTTCCACATTCCTCATGTCATTATTGTACCTTCTATGGAACTGCCCCAGACGTATATTTCATGTACATTTTTTGTTCCCTGCTTGATGTCGTACAACTGTACCCTGTGCCACAGACATTGTGACACCCAAAGAAATCCCTAGTATGTGTTCCTGATCTAAGCAAAAGTAAGTGCGAGCAGAGCTCATGGTCTCTCTGCTGCACCTCCGAGTGACTGTGCCGCCCTGCAGCCAGAGCCCCTCCAGGAATGTCCAGGCAGGACGGCCATTTCATGGGGCTTCCTGGGTAAATGTCAGTACTGTGTCGGTGCTGCTACTCCTCCTGTCCCATAGCTGCCAAACTGCATTGGATCTCTGGCATTAAGCCATTCAGAGGTATTGGTCTCGCTTCAGGCTCAGTACAGGTCTGGCCCAGGTGGGTATACATCATGGTGGTAGGTGGGGTCATGGACATATTGGTATACTGATAGCAGTACACTGATATGAAGTTGTGGTATTATTGGCTGGTATGATATTAGAATGATGCTGTTGGTGTAACGTTGGTGTAATGTTTGCAATATTGGTATAAAGTTGGAAAATATTAACATAATGATACCATGTTGTTGTCATGTTGGTGAAATGATACAATGCATTTGTACCCTTGGTGTAACTCTGACGTACTGCTGGTGTAATGATACAACGCACCTGTACCCTTGGTGTAACTCTGACGTACCGCTGGTGTAATGATACAATGCACATGTACCCTTGGTGTAACTCTGACGTACCGCTGGTGTAACGTAGGTATTATGCTGGAGTAACACTGGGCAATATAACCAAAGATTTGTATCATGGTATTTTTTAAGATTCTGGTGGTTCCACAGTTAATCCAGATATTTTTTTTCCAAGTTCACCCTTATCGTGGCAGCAAGCATTTACATTAATAAAATACCTTTATGAATGTTTTTAAAATGGTGTGTATAACCATATTTATTAGATTATTAAAGTATATTCAAATCCATAGCAACATGTTTTATTGATTATAACCATGCACTTAGCGCGATAAGAATGGTTTCACTGACATGTTTTATTATATTAATAACGTATATTTTGCTAGATAGCTACATGTTTTATTGATTATAACTGTATATTTAGCTCCATAGAGACATTTTATTAATTATTACCGCATGTAGCTTGGTAACAACATGTTTAACTAACTGGCATGATTTTAATAATTATTATGGTGATAAATTGATATTATTAGGGATTTTGCTTTACTGATATGCATTTAATTGCATACCTAGTTGTATTACATATAACCCAAAATTTCAGGCACAGATTGAAGCAGTACCTATAAATACTATAATCCTGAAGAGTTATATATGGAGAACTGTTGTGTTATAAAGTTAGTTAGAAGGGTACACACAGTTAACAGAGGTCCCCTCTTATTTCTCTCTGCACAGCGATCCGTAGCACTTATAGCAGCGAACAATATGATATAATTTGCTGCCTGCTGAAGTGTTACAGCTGATATTTCAGCTACGCTATGGTATGGCAGTATATAAAAAATTCATACCATATGGGAAATTTGAATATGTATACCGCCCTGAATGATACTGGAGTAACGCTGGTGTAATGCTGGCATAAAGCTTGAGTAAAACTAAAATTAGGCTGGTGTAATGCTGGAGTAACACTGGCATTACACTGGAGTAACCCTAGCAAAACGCTGGAGGAACACAGGCATAATGCTGGAGTAACACTGGAATTACAATGGAGTAATGCTGGAGTAACACTGGCATTACACTAGATTAACGATGGCATTATGTTGGTGTAACGCTGGAGTAACACTGGCATTACATTTTAGTCAAGCTGGCCTAATGCAGGTATTACACTGGCGTAGCGTTAGCACACAGGATACTCACTCTTGATGGGAATGATGAGCTGTGGGATGACGGGCAGGACCTTGGCACCGCCATGCTCCAGCATGTCGTGGACACCCTGGCGGGCAAAGAACTCGTAGGGGTGGCCCGTCTCACAGAGGCCGTCGAAGAACAGCGGCAGGTAGTGGTGGTAGTCCAGCCTCTCGATCTCCACCTGCGAGGAAAACAGCTGCGGGTGAGCTCCAGCACATCTCAGGGACGCATGGCGGCTTTGCTTTGCCCACAGGAAGCATGAGAGGAAGCTGTGCAGATGCCGGCCTCGCCGTCAGTAATGACACACTCCCGGCAGGAAGCCAGCACCCGGCGGAGCGGAGAGCCGCCTCCTCACACTCAAACACTTTTGGTGTTCCCCACAAGGCCGGGGTGGCAGCGCTGCTGAGGCATGCCGCGAGACAGATCCTGAAGGCTAGCCACGCGGCCCTGCCGAAATAAGCCCAGATCTGAGCTGTTTGGAAGGGGGCAGTATCCTGTAACGAGTGGTAACTGAGGCAGGGTTGTGCTGGACACCCCAACAGAACAGCTGCTGTCTGAGGGGATGGCGTGTGCTTCAGGGAGACACATGAAAACCACACAGGAGGAAATGGCAGCGGCCCAGAGAGCCACGCTTGGAGGTGGCACCGCAGCCACCCAGAGCCACCTCGCAGCTGCAGCCCCCTCAAATAAGAGATAAGTGATAATAAACAGTATATAACTACAGCGTTCACTTCTGTTGATGAAGGGGGCAGCCATCTTAAATTCTGAGGTTGGGGTTGCAGAGGTTCCTCTGACTTTCCAAGTCGTCAGCGGGTGTTCCAGCTGACATCTCCGACTCGGATCTGGGAAATTCCTGCATCCCAGTTCAAATGGAACGCAGCATAATTTCAGTGGAGTCATTTCACTCTCCACCACCTGTTGTCTGGTTAAACCAGATTAATGTTCCCTTCCAGGGATCCCGTTGAATGTGTCAAAGCGGAGAGTGTGTTTAAGGGTCTTGCCATTGTGGTGGGTGCAAATGGGTCCTGAAACACCTGAGGGGATTTGGGTTAAGGTGCGGAGAACAGGCCCAAACTCTTTTGGTGCTTCTCCTCTGGCATACAGGAACTGACCGATACCCGACTTGAACCGTGAGTCTCTTCTAGTTCCAGCAGGCTTTGATCATCCACTGCGGATGGGGCGGCCCGGTAAAGGCATTGCCAGGTTTGGAGAGTGACAGTGACGTAAAATCGAAGAGACGCTTATTTACTGTTCACACGGTACATCAAGAGGTATTACGTGCTGATTTCCACTAGCTCGTCTGTGAGAGTCGCCGCGTTATGTTAGCGTAAAATGCTAGCGGAATTAGCATTCGTTTGTATAAATTCGCATTACGAATCCATTACGTCTAGCTGTTCATAGCACTTTTTCAGGTAGGAGACTGGGCATTTTCAAGTCCCGTGTTATCGGGAATGCATCAATACATCGCGATGAGCGATACTACTAATAATGAACAATACACACACACACACACACACACACAGCCATACAGCACGAGATTAGAAGAAATGTTTTTGATGTCGGGAAGGTGTCAAGTGCTGCAGGGGGTTTTTGAGATTAAAGGCAGTATTTCCTGTTATGGGCACAATCATCATGGTAATTCAAAGACAGGCCCAAGAGAAGAGTATACCCATTACCGTGGAAACCCTGCCTACTATCAGAAGCACCGCGCTCACCCGCGGTTTGGGGGGCAGGGCGGACCGGCACGCCCTGTCTGCCGGGGGAGGTGCAGTCACCACCGACACAGCTGCTCAGCAGCTGTGCAGCAGACACGTGTGCGTCGACACGGCTGTGCTGGCAGACCGCTCGGCGGGACCTGAAAGGCGCACCATGGCACAGAAACACGCCGTCCTCACGCGCCTCCTGTCCCTCGTCCCGCTCCAAAGGCCCAGGATGCAATTAAATGAAGAAAGAGAGAGAGGGAGGGAGGGGTGCTGTGATGGAAGGAAGAGGAAGGAGGGAGGCAGGGAGTCTCCCCTCTCTGTGCTCCAGTTTTAAAGGTGAAGGAGCTAAATAAAGCTCAGATGGAAGCGTGGGCGGGCAGCCAGGGAGCCCAGGCATGTGGAGGGAAGTGGGCCAGGCCTGTGCACAGGCCGCGGTCACATCGGGGGACAGGCCGCCTTCCAGGCCTGTTCCGCTCCCCCCGGGCAAGATGGAGAGGCGTGCTGAGAACAGATGACACGGCCTGTTTGGAGAGTCTCGCTTCCTCTCTCTTCCTCCTGTCTCTTTGCAGAGTCTCCTTTCCAGGGAGGTGAGCCATCGCACTGTCGTGCTGAATGGGGCCCGGAAGGCAGACAGGGGCAGTGTGCTAGGCGGCAGCTCCGGACACACTGGCTCTGCAGAAAGAGATCCTGTCGATGGCAGAGGCTGAGGCTGCCTCCGGCACCTTGCTGCTTCCTCTCAAGGACTTTCTTCCTCTCAGACAGGTCCAGTTTAATGCCCACCGCACATTTGTGTCTTTTGAGGCCTGGGAAACACTTGCATTTTCCAGATAGGAAATTCTTCTTGCTACTCAAAAAAAATCACATTAAATATGAATTGGCCTATGATACATTTTTTATTTCAAGTGCATCAATAGAGTCCAAGTGGTATGTACACAGGACTGCCTCTGCTGCTGAGACGCCCCGGGTGAGAGAAGAGAACATCCCCGCTGGCCAAACAAGAAATGCGATGTTCACTGATCGGTGACCACGGTGCATGGAGCCTGGCTAGCGCAGGAAAGCCCTACTAACACTCGCATTCCACTTCCATCTCTGATTGGCTGAGTGGGAAGAGGACATTAAAGATAAAAGACCTGTTAAAAATGTCAAGTGGGACCTGAAGACAGATTCTCTGTTACTCTAACGCTAATTAGTGGAGTGACTGTAAAATACGGAGCCATTAAGAGCAGAGCCGTAGGGGGTAGGGCCAGCCCGCTCAAATGTCCCATGCTTGTCCCATGCTGCTGGCTCCGCCCCCAAGCCCAGCCCCAGGGGAGGTCAGGATGTACTTTCATTGCATCGACTGGGCAGGAATACTGAAGGTGGAGTGGTGGCGTGGGGCGGCGGCGTGTTGGTGAGTGTTGGAATGGCAGGAAACTGCTGAAAGAGAGCCCATTCCTTAGAGTCACCATGATTAGAGAGCCATTAGATGCGGCGGGGCGTCCTCAGGCCCGTGGATGCTTTAAAGAGCTGTGCAGCCTTAACTGCTGTGGGCGTGGCCTGTCTTCAGGACGCCCCTGCTGGGCTCAGGGCTGGATGTGGGCGTGGCCTGTCTTCAGGACGCCCCTGCTGGGCTCAGGGCTGGATGTGGGCGTGGCCTGTCTTCAGGACCCCCCTGCTGGGCTCAGGGCAGGGTGTGGGCATGGCCTCTCTTCAGGACGCCCCTGCTGGGCTCAGGGCTGGGTGTGGGCGTGGCCTGTCTTCAGGACCCTCCTGCTGGGTTCAGGGCTTGGTGTGGGCGTGGCATGTCTTCAGGACGCCCCTGCTGGGCTCAGGGCTGGATGTGGGCGTGGCCTGTCACCAGGACACCCCTGCTGGGCTCAGGGCTGGGTGTGGGCGTGGCCTGTCACCGGGACGCCCCTGCTGGGCTCAGGGCTGGATGTGGGCGTGGCCTGTCTCAGGACCCCCCAGCTGGGCTCAGGGCTGGGAGTGGGCGTGGCCTGTCACCGGGACGCCCCTGCTGGGCTCAGGGCTGCGTGTGGGCGTGGCCTGTCACCGGGACACCCCTGCTGGGCTCAGGGCTGGGAATGGGCGTGGCCTGTCACCGGGAGGCTGGGTGAGGTGGTCGTAGACGGACGCCGAACACAACGGCGACTCTGCTCTGTTCGCAGCTATGTTCTGTACCACAAAGGGGTCACGGCCCACGGGGGGAGTGCAACCTGAGGGGCTTGGAACCTGAGGGGCTTGGGTCACACTGGTACATCCCCACTGCCATGTTTGTATTTTCTGGGGAGGTGTGAGGGACACGGCCCCCTGATCTGCCAGGCGAGGGCCAGCCTTGTCACTTACTGGCTCCCCAGGCACACTGGGGGGGGCTAATGAGGAATAACGATTTCACTGTCAGTTTGCTGTTACAGCCTTACAGCCCCCTGTGTAGCAGTGCCACTGAGCAGCCAATGCGGGGCGGCCGTAGGGGGCGTGACATTAACACAGCCGGGGGACAGGAAGGCAGGCAGCCCAGGAAGCAGCCCGTGCTCTAGGCCACTCCTGCTGAGACGTTCTGGGGGGGTTAGGGGAGGTCAGCTTAACAATGGAGCTGGACAATAGTGTAGTGAAGCGGGAAGAATGAGGATCTGTTGAGAGCCTTGGGATGGACGCTGCCTGCAGAGGGCAGGGAGTTGGGGTGAAGAGGCTCCTCATTTTGGGGCCCTCATGGGCGGCTGGGGAGGCCTCAGGATTTCATAGCCTATCGCACATGGTGACCGGGGGCCACATGGGGCCCCGTACCATTCACTACACTCTGTATATTTATGTGAACCAATAACATGGAACGTGAAGGAGCAGCCAGTGCCACTAGCCAGCTGACATACAGGCTCTGCCAGGTGGGACCGGGTGTTTTTGTGGGTTGGGGGAGGGTCAGCGTGATGGGTGGGAGCCTGACTAAGCCCCCTATCATTTCCTTGTTCGTCATTCACAGAGGTCAGAGTATGGCTGTCACCCCGAGAGGCCCCAGCGCCTCCCTGCGCCTCCTTGCACCCCCCTGCGCCTCCCTTTGTCAGCATGCGCCCTGCCAGCCCGCCATGAGTGTCTGCAAACTCCGGCACCTGCTGACTCCACAGCCAGCCAAGGACAGCCGGCGGGAGGGGCTCAGCACGCCCCGTTCAGAACCCACCGACGCAGCCTGGCTCTCTGACCCACATGGCTCACCAGCCGACAACTGATCTGGGGGGGAGGGGGAGATGGAGCGCAAATCTAATCTTCAGGATCGCAGAGTCAGCAACGTACGCTCAGGGTGCCGGCCGGGCCGCGGTGGAACAGCAATAACAATAAAAAAGCAGCAGAAGGAGAAAAAGCGGCCGACCTGCTGACCCGGGTCGCCCATGCTCACGGGAAGGGCCGCCTCTCACCCAGCACGGCCCGTGCTCACGGGAAGGGCCGCCTCTCACCCAGCACGGCCCGTGCTCACGGGAAGGGCCGCCTCTCACCCAGCATGGCCTCCCCC